CAGGCAGAGACTGAGAATAGGAGCTGCACCATGATGCATTCCTGTGAGCATGGCAAATAGACTGAGAGCTGCAGCATGTCTCTGGCAGCAGCATATTGAGTGTCACATCCTAAGCCCTGTTCTCCTGTACCAGGGCAAGCTTAGCCTTAGATGTAATATCAGCAACTTGGTAACACGTTACATGGGGACTTTCCAAAACTGCAGATGAAACATCTACCTATGAAAGTGATCCTGAGACTTGCAAATATGCAGGCTTTCTGTTGTCAAATATTTAATGCTTATATTATAAAAGGTTGAAGTTATGTATAATGAATTTATATTGATTTCTATCTATAAAGAAGCAAAAACCATGGAAGCTAACAAGCATATTCAATCCAGAAGGATTCTGCAGGCCATGAGAGTAAAATCTACTCAGGAAAGCAACCATATTTTCAATATAGTATCTAGAAAAAAGTAAGTGCTGTTGTGCTGCATTGTGTGGAGGGAAGGTATTGGAACTGCAGGCAGATGTGTACAAGACTGTCTATTCTGCAAGAAAGTGTTAGCCAAAGTTTTTGTGGGTTTGTTTGTTTTTTCAAATTTAGTTCTTCCTAAAGATTTAATAACATAGTTTCAACAGTGTTTTTATGGGTAGTTTAAACCAAGCTTATCTGGGCAATATTATATCCTAAAGAATTTATATTGGGCTATAGATTATGTATTGGTTAAAACAGAAAGAGTGGATTAAAACAGGTTAGAAACCAGATGAAAGCATTTGAGAGTTCACTGAAGTGGACAAAGGTTGGAGCAAGGCAGCAGTGCATTTTTAAAAATTGGACCATCAGTCTTAAGTATTTGTATTTCCATAATAGTTAATCCTTTGCCAGATATCTCAAAATAAAAGAAATTAGGATCAAGGAAATGATACTCAAGTTTTGCCATTCAGTTAGTGGTGCTCACAGTACTACAGTGACTGCAGTCTGTACATCATCTCTGTGGCACAAAGCCAGTTTGGCTATCAGCAGGTCCAACTTTAGTGGAGTTTTCATTTACATCAGTTTTATCTTCTCCGTTTCATCTTGACTTTTATGTTTTAGAACAAATCACTCAATCTTTAGCTTCCTAAGCATTCTTTTGGATCAAAGGATTAATTTTATGCATAGCAGGTTCTGAGCTGGAGGTAGATATAAGAAGTTAGAACAGACATTAGTTTCTAGAATTAATCACATAACTTGAGTGAATACCTTAAAGAGTGCTTGACTGAATTCTCTAACTTCTGACTTAGACCTGAGACATGTTTAGTTTCACACCCCTGATGCATAAACAATACTGGTTGCATTTTTGCAGACCAGATGGACTATCTGGTTCAATGTCCTGCTCAGACAGTGGCCCATGGAAGGTTATGTGGGAAGAACATTAGGTGATGTTATGGAATGGTGATACTTCCCCAATACTCTCTGGGACTCAGTAATCAGTGGTTTTCTGATCTTTGTATATAAATAGTATTAGTGGCTCTTGCTTCTCTGAGTTTGTCTAAACATTTTTGAACCCCTGTAAATTTTTGGTGTCCTTAGCTTCCCGTAGTAAGAAGGAATCCACAGTTTAATTATGTTATGAGAAAAACTACCTCATTTTGTTTGTTTTAATCTGCCCACCTGATGACTTCATTTGGTTTTTCCTATGTCTTGTATTATGAGAGGTGAGTAATTGTTCCCTCTTCTCCTTGTCCCTGAAGCTTGTGATTTTATAGATATCTTTCATATTTTCTTTCAGTTGTCCTTTTTCCAAGCTGAAGAGTCCTTATTTATTTAGTCATTCCTCGATATATAAGCTGTTCCATACCTTTGATCATCTCTACAGCATTTCTTTATACTTTTTCCAGTTCTGCTGTATGCTTTTTGAGAAGGGAGGAGTGACAGGGGTTAGAACCATCCTCAGTATGCAAGAGATGGTTGCAATTTTGTTTTATACGGTAGCATAGTAGTGTTCTTGGTTTTGTTCCCTATGCCTTTCCTAATAATTCCTAATACTGAGTTTGCTTTTTTAGAGTATTTTAGTGATGTTTTCATAGAAAATCTATTATACCTATAGTTATAAGGTCTCCTTCCTGAATAGAAATAACTAGTTCAAAGTCCATCACTGTGTAAAACTAGGATTGTGTTTCGCTGGGTACTTGACTTCATAGTTATTAAATTGAATGTCATCTGCCAATTTAATGTCTGATCATTCAGTAATGTGATTTTTTTTTTTTTCACACTGCTCAGTGACTTTCAGTTTTTCGGTAGCAAGCTTTTTAAAATTTCACTCTTTTTTCCCCAGATCACTTATAAATGTTTCAAACAGCAGAGACCATAGCACAGATTCTTGTGGGACCCCAATGGTAGTTTCCTTCCATTGTGAAAACTGTCCATTTATTCTGGTTACATGTGTTTTAACTAGTTATGAAATCCATGAGAGGTAACCCCTTTATCCTACGTTGGCTTATTTTATTTAGGAGTGTTTTGAATGAACTTACCAACTTTCTCAACTGAGTAATTACTGGTGTGAAAAAGTTACTCCAGGTAAATGGACAAATACAATTGTTGTTTAGTTCAAAACAGAGGTATTGAAGATCACAATCTTTCAGTAGTACTGATGAGGAATTAATCAGGCTGTTTTCTGAGCACTAACATGACTTTGACGGACCTCCTGAATGCTCTTCAGCTTTGTGGGGCTGGTCTGCAGTAACCCCCAGCTGTCTCCCAAAGGTTGCATCCCAGTCCCAGCACAGTCCTTTGTGCTTTTCAGCTGTCAGCATGGCCTGACTTTACTGGGGTGGTAACAGAGACTTCAGCTGCTTCGCATAAGGGAGAAGTCCAGTGAGCTTTAACATCAGAATGGATGGTGGAGTCTGTATCTATGCAGTAGGAGTGGATACTACCCTTGGGATGGGAGTTGAGTCCAGGTGACAGCAACCTGCTGATAACCCATGTGGTGAGCTGGTGGGATTGGAGAAGAGACAGCTGAGGATTGTTTCAAAGATTCCTTGTGCCTTGTTGCGTCCTTCTTTTAAGTTATGCTTTTTGTGGCATACTGTGCCCAGCAGGGGACAGTGCTGGGAGGACAGCAGCACACATGTATCCATGGATCCAGAGCTGAGCAACTGCAGGTGAAACCAAAGTAGCAGAGGATCATGACTCCATTACTGGGGCAGAAGGGGGAATGCAGGTTCAGAAGAGGGAAGCAGCTCTCCCAAGGTTAACCACAAAGCCAGGCCTGGACCTATACAACTTGAGTTTCAAGTGGTGAGTACTGTCAGCCACATTACAGTTGTCACTTTTCCAAGCAGTGGTGAAAGGAAAAGAGCTGAAAGACTGAGAATCTTGTAGCAAAAGGGAGCAGGGAGCAAGAGTCACTTATTCAGTGTTGCACTGGGGTACAATGGAAGCAAAGGACTGAGGAAAGCATGGGTGGGATCCCTTGAACAGAGAAGTCTAGAGAAGGCTACCTACAGCCAATGAGCATAAGAGCAAAAGTGGTAGTGGGCAGGAGGAGGCCCAGAGGATGCAGGGTGGAGATGCTGGCAGCTGCGCTCCTTTTCCACCAGGTTACCTTACGCCTCTGTAAGGAGGAGCTGAGTACGGAGAGTGACGCTTTAGTGTTTAGAGTCCTTGTCCTTAATTTGCTTCAAAAGGGATGCATTAGGTTATTTCTGAGGGAGAGGCAGTTGCTTCTGGTCTTGTTTGAAACTTCCTTCTGAATATTTTAAGGGTTTGCTGTGATCATGAAGCTAGTGGGGGAAAGTGCAACACATTCACGGGAATCTGTGACATGTTCAAAGAGTCTAGGTTGTACGTTTTGGTAGGATCCTGAAGCAAGGAGATTGCAGTTAACTCCCTTGCCAAAACCATGACCAGCACTCCAAATCATGGCATGAAATGTAAAAGACACCAAGTATCTTTTACATCCTAGTTACTTATGACATGCATAGGAAATTCAAGGGAAGTCTGCCCTGGGAGTCCAAAAGACATGTTTGGAAAGAGTGGCTGTGAGAAACATGACAGAGATGAGCAGAAACTTGGGAAGCTCAAGTGTTGAGTCTTGAAGGTTTTATGAGCTGGAGTGTCATGATTCAGTGGGTCATATGGCATCTTGTCTTGTGAGGACAGGATGTGTGAGTGGCTGGGCCATTGTAGCCTCTTCAGGACACCTTGTGGTCCTGTCAGTCTGCCACCTGCTCTCTGCAAAGCCCCTCGGCCTTGTGTAGAAGTGTGTTGGTGCTGCCTTCTCGCCAAGCCTTACAAACTTCAAAGCAAGCCAGAGAGCTCCTGTTGGTACTTATCATGTTCCAGGCCACAGCTGAACTCCCACTGTATAAGCCTGGGTTGTAAGAGCTCCTGCCTCCTTGCTTTTGAGGCCTTTTCTGCTCTGGGAAAGGCTTGCATTACTCCGATGATGAAAGAAATGAGCCTATCTTCAGTCTCCTCAGGATTGTAAGGTCTTTTGGATTGTAACTGTATGGAGTCAGTATGTGCCCTAGCTGCAACCTTACCCTACCAGTCCTTTACCCTCTCTGTGGATATTGTACTGCATGTCTGTCTTCTGTTCCACTCACTGCAGCATGTATGTGCTTGGTGTAAGCCTAAATGTTAGTGTATTAACTAAATCTCTACAAATCCAAATAAATAATTATCTCATTCGTGATAGGAATCCTTACTCTATTCCTGCTGCAACTCTGCCTCTCTTCAATGCTAATCAGCCACAGACATGCTCCAGTTTAGAGTTTTTTCTTCTCTTTTCCTTTGTTCTCCTCAAGCATGGTGTTATGGCTAGTAATATAGTCCAAGCCTGGAATTCAAGAAACTCCTTAGCAAGATGGCAGTTGGCACATGGCACCTCTAGCAGGTGTTGTGCTTGCTGGAGCCACTTAATACAAATTCATAGTGCTAAGTATTAAGGGATTTTTAGGAAGCAGCAGTGCCTTGTAAGCAGGAGTCTTTATATGCAGAGTGGTGAAAGCGTGATGGCTCTTCTTTTCTCAGGGCTCCAGAGAATCATCATTTTGCCTGGGACAAAGAGATGGAGAACAGTGTCTACAACAAGGTGACACAGAGTCCACTGGCACATCCTAACTATCAGCTCCATTTTGCTGTGCAGCAACTTCAGCAGCAGAAACTTCAGTCACGACAGCTGTTGGAGCAAAGCCAAGCCCGGCACCAGGTAACTAAGACCAAATCCTGCCTGGGATGTAGCAGTGCTGACTGAGTCTTAGATGTGCAGAACCAACCCAAAGCCAGTACATATGGCACAGCTTTTGTGAAGGAAGTAGCTCTTCAAGGGGGTTGCAACAATATTACCTGCAGTGATTTTGATAGCATTTTGATGCTGTAGTTCCCAATGGCTGCTTCTACTGCATTGGTGTCCTCCTCCATCTGGCTACTGGCATGCTGCTGCTTGCTTTTTCTGCACCAGTTCAGGGTATCACCTTATAGTGCCTCAGACAGCCTTAGAACTGTCTACAGTCTCCACAGTTCTTTATTATTTACTCTTGTCACTGATGATATGTTGCTGTTTTGACTTGAGTTCTTCCTGAGTAGGGCTTCAGGCTGGGTCACTGTTGTATTTCAGTGTTTCGAAACATAGGGTCTTGAAATTGTGTTGGCAACTGTGTCCTTTGTGTCAAACAGACCGCATCAAGGCTTTGTCTTGACTAAATTCTCCTCCTCCTGGATGTCTTCTCATATGATGCAGTTATCAAAAGAGCACTATGTTAACAGGACTCAAAAACCATTTAGGAGAACCTTCATTCCTTTGAAGAAATGTATTCATTTCTTTTAAGAGCCTTCAGTGTGCAGGAGGCATGGCCACTGACCTTGATGCCAGATGCAAGTTTTCTCTGCAATGCTGAAAATCTTCTGCAGGCCACCTACACATTTTGTTATTACTACATTTAAGATTTCCTTTTGCTGCTTGCATGTAACTGTCTAATGGATACATGACTCCTTTGTTAAAATTGCAAGGAGAAGAGATGGGCTAAGTGCCCAAGAGCTAGAGGAAATATGAAAAAGGGTTTGTATTATTGATGTTCTGGATGACACCTAGATGCTAAGGGTGGACTACTTTCCATCCTGCCTGAGGAATCTTCCAAGGTTACAATGAGTTCATTGATGCACTTGTTACCTTTCCTTGTTGGTATGGAGAGAGAGGTATGTTCTTTCTTCTGAGTGGTGTCCAAAAGGCTTCCCTGGTAAAGGGAAGGAAGTCTTTGGGTGAACAAACCTTCACTCAAAAGAGATTGATCTCCATTAGGAAGAAGCTGTTTGCTGGGCGGTCTGGCAGGACTGGACTCCAAAACCATGAACAGAGCGGAGGTCTGAACACCCACTCTCCCTCCTGTGAAGCAGATGAGTCACTAGTCAGGGTCCTTGAGAATAGTTTATAGGCAAATTGCCCTCATCCTTTTCTGGGAGCATCTTGAAGGAGAGGCCCTTCTGCCTTTGCTCCTTGCACTCCTCCTTTCAAGGCCCTCACTTAACCATGCAGTTTCCACCCCCAAATTCCCTCACCTACAGTCTTCTTGCTCCCCCTCTGAGCAGGAGGTCTTCCTTTCATCTCCATCCAAGGGGCTCTGGGTGGGCAGCTGTGGCTGCTTATGAGCTCAGGAAAGGGCTGTAAGCTGGCTTGTGCCTGTCAGGAGGCTGGAGCTGGCCATGGGGCCTGGCTGAGCCCTCTTCTAATTGCTGACATTGAGCTGATGTTATTCTTGGCCTGGGGCAGAGCCATTACTCAGGAGTTTCTGTTAAAGTGATTCTTTGTTAAACCTCCTCTCACCCCCACAACGTCCCCCTCCTTTCTCTCCCTCCCTTCTCCTCCTGAGCCAAGCAATTTGGAGTTGCAGTATTGAGGCCATTGCCATGCCGCAGGGCTCAGGCTGCACTGAAGTTGCCATTAATGAAGAAAGGTATTTGCTGAACATGGGGGCTTTCAGACTTTCTGTAGTGAAAGCCACATCTTAATAAAATGATTGTCTCTTGGACACTTCCTCTCCCACTAGACATTGTATGGAGCCAGCCAGTCCTCCCCTTCCAGTCACAGTTGCACTGATCCTCTGATGCCTCTCCCAGTCACTACACTACCCTCATCTTCATCGGTCTATCCCTTGCTCCCTCTCTAGTTTCCTGTCCCTGACCTATTCCTTCTGCTAGTTAGCTTCTCAGACTTCAGTCCTTTGACTTGGCCTTTCCAAGAACTGCCTTCTCTTTTCTGCTGCTTACACACTCTCTGCCCTACATCTCCTTCCCACTCACACTGCTTTGACTTCCATCCTAACTTTTCCTGCTGGCCATCATTTGTCCTCTCTTTTTCCCCAAAGCTGATGTAGCTTATCCTAGCCTGCATGGCTTTACCACATTTCCTAGTCAGTGCTACCTAAGCCACCTATCTCCCTGTCATGGTTTAACCCCAGTCAGCAACTAAGCACACGCAGCTGCTCATTCACCTCCCTTACAGTGGGGTGGGGGAGAGAATCAGAAGGGTAAAAGTGAGAAGAACTCGTGGGCTGAGATAAAGATGGTTTAACAGGTAAAGCAAAAGCCATGCGTACAAGCAAAGCAAAACAAGGAATTCATTTACCACTTCCCATTGGCAGGCAGGTGTTCAGCCATCTCCAGGAAAGCAGGGCTCCATCACGCATAACGGTGACTTGAGAAAAGAAACACCATCACTCTGAACATCCCCCCATTCCTCCTTCTTCCCCCAGCTTTGTATGCTAAGCATGTCGTCATATGGTCTGGAATGTCCCTTTGGTCCGTTGGGGTCAGCTGTCCCAGCTGTGTCCCCTCCCAACTTCTTGTGCACACCCAGCCTCCTCGCTGGTGGGGTGGTGTGAGAAGCAGAAAAGGCCTTGACTCTGTGTAAGCACTGCTCAGCAGTAACAAAAACATCTCTGCATTATCAACACTGTCTTCAGCACAAATCCAAAACATAGCCCCATACTAGCTACTATGAAAAAAATTAACTCTATCCCAGCCAAAACCAGCACACTCCCATTGCCTGCTCTTTCCCTGCTGTTCCTTCCCACATATTGAGATCTACTCCATCCTTTGTTGTCTTGCCTGCTACATTAAAGTTCCTCAGCCTCCTCTCAACAGAAGAAATATATCCCCCAAAATGGAATGCCTATCACTTGAAAGAGTGTCATGGTCTCTCTACTTTGGGGAATGCATGCAGGACATCTCCAAGCCTGTTTCATCTGATTGTTCAAATTCTTGTTACAGTTGGAAGGCAGGCTAGCCATTTGTCAGTAGCTGGAGTGCATTTATTAATATATCTCAAGGCACACCCTGAGTTTGGCATGACCATACAACATGACTAGATGCCAGTCTTTCCTTCTCTCTGTGACAAATGGACTAGTCTTATGTATATGGATAGCATGTGAACAAGTAACAGAAGCACCATGATTAATAACACAGGCAAATGCTTCTGCCTGTACATTAATCAGTTTGACATGTTGGAGATGAGATGGATGCATTGGAAAGCATGGAAGTTCCTAGTCAAGTATATGTGTAATAGGAATAGTCCCTCTGCCATGCAGTGGATGTATATTACCATGAAGGCTTATTGCATACTTCTTTGTGGCAGCACCCACCCTTGGTTGAGCACTTTCCAGACACTTAAGAATGATAAATTCTCCTCCAGGCATCTAACAATTTGCAGAGGAGCAAACACTGTGTAGGTGGAAGGAGGGGAATAATAACCAACAACCTTCACTCATTGTATGTGGAAGTTAGTTCACACAGTGTAGTATGGTGGAAATAGATCTTTGATGCCAAAATAGGTACTTCATTCCCTGGACAAAAAGAAAAACACCAAACTGACTGGATGAGAATCTAACAAACAAATGGATGCAGTGTTAGGGCCCAGGAGCAGAGACAATGCAAAGCCTGAGAAAAGAGAAAAAAATAGAAAGGGGCAGAGTTTGAAAGTGGAGACAAGAAGCTTAAATCTGGTATCAACAAAATAAAGGAACAGGAATTACAAAATCTAACCAAAAGACAAGAAAAATGAGCTTATAGCAGTATTTTTAATGTTTAAAGGAGACTTCATGTGACATGTTATGACCTAGATGTTAGTATCACTGCTGCAGTTGGCAAGGCAGTTAATATACCATCATTGTTTATTCTCTAATTGTTTCCTGTACTGGAAAGATGCCATTAGCTGTTAGGGAGGTTCCTCCTTCTCTGTGTGGCTGTGTTCTGTCTGCTTAGCCTAACATCTACTGGGTTTAGAATTTTATGCCAAACATTTCACATGGGAAAAAAAGCTACATTAAAACAAGAAAAGTACAGTCATATAGCGGAATGATCCCCATCAGTCCTGCTTATATCAAAAAAGGTCATGTTAAACAAGACATAAATCATGTTAATGAGTTGTGTGGTCTGTTATTATCACATTTTCAATCAGAAGTTTAAGTAGATTTTATGCTATAAAATACTGGGCTAAGTTAATCTTAAATAATTCTCCTCTCAATCATTTAAAAATGGTATGTTCTTTGAAATATTTCTCATTTTATTAAGTTCAGCAAATTTTTTTTTTCTTTTAATTTATATGACTCTCTTTGGAATTCCCTACAGTTTATTTAGATCTGACTGGGAATGGTGACTATTCAGAATAATATTCCTAGTATTCCTAGAACTACATTATTCCTGCCTGAAGACACAGGGTCTCTATGAATGCAGCCTTAAACATCATTAAACTGTTTTCTAAACTATTATATATTGAACTGCTGTCAGATTTGCAGTCTCTCTTCCCCTTCGGTCTCTTGTTCCATTCTTGTTTTGCAGCTTTCTCCCTCAGATTGTTTTCCCACTAAATGTGCTAACTGCCATTTTTCCTATTTGAGTCTTGTGATACTGATGAGTCAAAGTCTCAGTCTAAGTAAAGCAGAACAACTGTTCTGAAAGCAGTAGGCTGTGCTGATTTATACCAGCTGAAATTTTGTCCCATGTTTCTGATCCTGTCACTATTATTAGAATTATGGTAATGCCCAGATGTATTAAGTACAATGATATGGCCCAATCCTTGCCCCAGAGACCTCCCAGTACCAAAAGAGAGACAAAGGAGAAGGCACCAAGTCAACTTATTTTAATATGTTTTAGTCTCGCTCTGAAGAGTTTACCAAGGAAGACATGCTTCAGGACGGTCTGCGCATACCATGAATTTGGTCATCTTTAAATTTCTTTATGACCTCAAGATGCCTCACTTACTGCAGTATAACACTGTGGCAGTTAATAGTACATTTTGAGCCTGTTCTTTATCACCACTTTGTGAATTTTCAACTCAACTTATTGTTGCATCCAAACTGATTTAACTGAATGCATTAATAATATGTGTTCAAAAGCATCTTCACTAAACAATTTATATGACTCCAAAGGTCTTCCAAGCCTTTTAATTCTCTGTATTTTTGCAGTGTCATCTGAAATGCAGTTGACTTTCTAAAAGCAGTGGGTTTTATTTTGTTGGGTTTGCTTGTTTTTTCTTTTTTTAACTTAAATCCTTGTCATTGTTTATTGCTTATAAACACCTCAGTTTCCAGTGCTAGTGATTTGGAACTAGCTGCACAGATCTTTATGCAATACACGTGTGTGTGCATCTGTCTGTCAGTTCTTATACACTGCTGAGTCTCATCGTTTTCAGACTTGCTGACCCAATTCAAACTGAACAGCTATGGGATAGAAATCTCAAAGCTATGTTTCATATAAATTTCATGAAGATAAAGAGCTATATATCTGGACAGGGGATTCAACTACTGTTGCTATTAAGGCAAAGGCTGCAGCATAAGGCCACTCCTAATTAGGCAGCACAAAATCAACACAAGAATGCCCCAAACCCATGAAAGGAGCTATAATTTGGGACATACTTCATATTAGATACTGTAAGATTCAGCCTCAAGACAGATTCACAGGAAATGAGCTTAATTACCTCCTCTGGTCACAGAATGAACATGTTTTTGCTTGCAACATTTATTCTGTTACTGTGCTAGGGATGGGTGTTAGATACAGGGATGGTAAGTGCCAGGAACATTCTTTCTGTTTTTGAAGATCATTAGTATATCTGCTTTTCTTCAGAGTACTACAGTACCTCCCTGCTTTTAATCATGAGCAGCCTGAGCTCAGCTGCTACTGGCTAATACTCTTAGATGTGCATCGTCCTTACTGACAAGCTGTACATATTCAGATTTTCTAATTAAAACTTACTATTTTTGTACAGATAACATTTTATGTATGGTGTTCATGGGTAGACGTGGAAGCAAGTAGAGGTGTGATCTAATGAGGCAAATATGGGATTGGGAGTCAGGATCTTCTCTGAGCTCTCAACCTAGCTTTTCATATTGCTTCAGTCTCTGGCTTAGGGAAAATCACTTTCTCTGTCAGTGCTAACATTCCTCATGTGCAAGACAGGGTTAATGCTGTCCTACTTCCTCAGAGAATTATGCAAGAGAATTAACTGACTAATGCTTTACATGATTTTTAGCTAAAAAGTCTCATAGCGTTCTAAGTACTTTTTGGACTTGTAGCCCTAAGAACTTGTCAGGGAAGCAAATGTCTCCTCAACATCAAGTTAAATCTGCCAGCCTGGGAAGTGTGGTTCAAAGTTTTTTACTTGCAGCAGCAATAGTTGTAGGGTGCTACCTGCTTCAGGACTGCCTCTGTCAGAGTTTGTCTAGGCTTCTGCTCTCCTTAGACCCTGAGCCTTCAGAATCCTGAGTGATGAGGCCTGTCTTCTACTTTTTGGATGTGCTAAAATCTCTTCCCAGCCCTTTGTGTGGTCAGGCTCTGCTCTCCCTAGCTGCCCTCTTTATTTGCACAGTAGCTTCTCCTGGTTTCCTGTCCTGTCCCCACGGAGTTCACAGCAGGGCAGTGTGCTTTGTAGCTGAATCCAGAAGCCATGGTCCGTGTCAGCTTCCAGTCTCCCCATCTTTGCCTGGAAGGCAGCCAGAATCTCAGCACAGCGTGGAGACAAAGGCCTTTTTGGAAGTCCGTTACCCCCAAGAAAAGCATCCATGACCTTTCTTTAGGCAGGTCTCAGCCCAGACTTTGTTAGAGCATCCATGCTTGCTGTTTCTTCAGAGTCATGGACTTCCTTGCCAATGCATATTAACAAAGGGAAGGGGTTAAGATGGTATGCTTTGTGGACTCCAGGTTCTTAGTGATTTTAACAACAAGAAACTTACAGGAAATACACAAATATCAAACAGAGCACAATGAAATGTCACCCCTGAATAAGAAGGGTGTGCAGTGACTTGAGGGTCTCCATCTCAACCTCATGATGCAAGAGGCTAAACTAAGTTCCATTTTAGTTTGTTTTGCTGGGGGCAGGTGGGCTGTGATTGCTATTTTCCAGACTTCTGCACCTGTACCAGCTACTTATTCAAAAACTGAAAGCTGCGATCAAGGTAAAGCTTCAGGGAAGGGAGAGGTTAAGAAGGATTGGGAGCTCAAGGGCATCTTGTCAGTGAGCTCTAGTTAGGAAACAGGCCTGTTTTGGCTCCTGCACTTCCTTTTCTCCCTAGAGCTCTGCCTGTCAGAAACGCCTTCCCACACACCACTGCCCTGCCATTTGCCAGAGAATTGCGGAGGAGAGGGGCTTTTCCTGTCTGTGTGCTGAGACTCAGCCAGCCCTCAGACTGTGGTTTTCTCTGGAGCCTGGAGCCCACTCACACTCTGGCTTTGTGTGTTTTTCACCAGAGAAGAAACTGAGGACAAACTCAGTGAAGGGCGCTGCTCCCAGGGTCATGCTGAGGTGACTGGCGAGTGCTTGGCTATTCCCCTCGTCTCCTATCACTGACCCCTAGCTGCCAAACTACACGGTTACACTATTGCCTCTTTGTCGTGGGAATCGGACTGACTTCGAGGAAAGGCAAGTCAGAACTCCAGGCAGGTTGTTCCTTTCTGAAAAGAGTTGAGCCATTTGCAGAGCTCCCGTAGGGAACCATTCCCCACTCCCTGCTTTGCCAGTCCACTGCTCAGTTGTCCAGTGTCTCATAACATGCAGATTCTTTTGTTCCCTGTGACAAATCTCCAACATACTTACTCTCCCACCTGCTATAGGAATAGAAATATTTTCTGTTCCCTGGTATTACTGGGGATTTCCTTTTTGTCAGCTGCTGAGAAGGTGCCCTAGAGCGTTTCTGTTATTCCAAGCACCTACAGGGTTAGACTGAAGAACTGGCATTGTAACATCTTCCCCATAACCTTTTTCTTTCCTAGAACTGTGTCTCAATCCCACCTCCCACACAAAGAATAATTTAGCAAGATAAATGCAGAAAGTCAGTCAAAGCAATAAAAGCTTTACTTCTTTGTGGATGGGAGCCCACTGCAAGATTAGATTGAGGGTAAGACCTTTTGTTTTTTAATCCAGAGTAGTATAATTCTGTGGCAGTAATGAGCTTGTCTGCCTTCCTAAAAGCTAGACCCAGCTTCCAAGGGTATAAAATTCGGCTCTAAAAACTACTTCACTGACTTGACCACTTAACTCTTCTTTTTATGCGTGGGACTGTCCCTAGAGTCCTGGGGTTGCCTTCACCAGGCAGATATTATCCCTCACAAAAATGTTACCCACCTCCATCAGCAATCTCAGCAATATTCAGAGAGGTAATCACAAATTACTGTGTTATTTTTGTTTTCTTTTTTTTTTTTACCAGGCTCTCTTTGCCAGCTACTCACGATCCAGCACCAGCCATATATCTATGCCAGCTGGCTCTGATGCCCGCAAGACATCAAGTGCCACTTCTAGTATCCAGAAGGCAGCCAGTTTGCACAAAGTGATGCCATCCCAGAATACACCTTCTCAGCTGGTTCCAAAGCCTCCAGCCAACCACAGGCAGGCAGCGATCAGAAAGGCTGCAGCCCAGAGGATTTCCAAGTAAGTTTTTTCTCTTCCCATCCACAAAAGGGAATTGGCACTGGTTCCCCTGAGAAGGAATATCAGCGAAGAACCTGTCTACTTGCACCTCTGACAGAATTTTTTGGCTGTGCTGTCCAAGATACAGCTCAGGTTATTCTGAGATTTGTGTACTGAAATAGGTGTGCACTATGTTGCAGTTTCGCGTTTCACAATGGTGAAGTAGATAAGATTGTAACATCATACAAACATAAGGACACAGGAACTGCCATATTGAATCAGGGAAGTATCTGTTCCAGGATGGGATTCAGTTACCTAACTACAGGTTGCTAGTGACATTTTAGATGCCCGGGGCTATTCCACCTGACCTCCAGCTGCTGTTCCAGATGAGCACAAGTCTTCTGTAGATCTTGTGTTATATCTGCCAGTCCCATGCAGATGTCTCAAATAACTTGAGAGTACCAAGTATGGTACTAGACATCTATGTTTAGGCACTTGAGTCACTCCCTCCATGTTTAATCTTTGATGGGGGCTAGAATCTGGTGGGTCAGAAGAAGCTGCCAAAAAACCCCCAACCCAAAACCAATATCCTTAACAAGCTAATATGCCCTTGAGCCAAGTTTCCCCATAAATTTAACACAAAGTGATTGACTTATGCCTTCAAGCACAAGTGTTTATTTCATTTAAAGTGTTTACATTGTGCCTAATGTAATGATAGCTTTCCTCATTATCTGTGGAAATCCTTCTTTTAACTTTTACTAAGCTTCTAGTTATATAGTGCTTGCCATTCTAAGGTAGATGGATTTGGCATGTGTTATCTTTAAAAACAAACAAACAAATCACCATGAAATGTTGCTTACTGATTGAAAGTTTCCTTCCTTTCCATTTCTTGGTGTGTTTTCTCCTTTGTGCATTATGAGAGAATGTGAGCAAGACTTCTGGGTTTTCTTCTTATCCTTTACCTTTCTTGGTAGCTTCCTTAGCTCTCTGTTTGTCTCTTCTTAAATGACAGAACTGCTTTAGACTAAATCCCTCATCAGGTTTTTCCTCATATATCCTCAGACTTGTTTCATCCCTGAATACCAAAGGGCAAAAATTGCATTCATAACTTTCTTCCTTACACTTACTCTATAGCTAGAAGAGTTGTAGAGCTTTCAGAGCAGGTTCCTGTGAGGTTTCCTGATTCTGTGTTCCCTTCCTGTTTAAAGAGGAAAGTTTTAGTAAAAGATTACTCATGAAAGACATCTTATGAAGATGCTAGGGCACTGCCAGTGTGTGTGGATCAAATCTGGAACTGCAAGGTGTATTTAAGGAGCTTGGACAGAACTGCTTTGGGTAAGCTTGTGTATTTCCTGCCTGTGCTCTTGCTATCGTAAGAGATAGCACAATGAATTAATCCCCCAAAACTATTTAAAAAGAAAACAAGATGTTAGTAGACTTTGTCAGCTCAGCAAATGCAGATGTGAGCATCAAGTCTGGCAGGTATGTGCTGGTGGGTTTGCTGTCTGATTTCTTTTATGTTGGGTAGCTCATGTTAGTACAGGTGACAGGCTATGTCAGTGGGTTTCTCAGCTGGGCAGCAGGGATGTGTATTTGAAGATGCCGGTGTGCTGTGCTCACTTCTTGGCAGAGGAAGTGTTTATCCTTGTGAGATGGAATTGCAGCTCCTTGGACAGACTTTACTTTGCTGCATTTTTGTGGTTTCTGCTCTGTGACAGGCAGGAGTGTGGGAAAACCGGAAAAAGTTCAGCACCAAAAATGCACAGAAGGGGGAAAAAAAGCAAAAGATTCCTTCAGAATTTCAGAAAACTAATCCAAGTATTGAAGGCTGCAAGGAGCCACTCCGGAAATACTTTCCAAGTTGCCTTTCAGTCTCCAGCACAAGGCTCCAAATCCATTCTTGCCATTCATGGGATCTTGCAGTAACATTTTTTCACTTACATGGAAAACAGCAATGCCCAGCTATATTTCCGGCATACTGAGAGCTGATCGTTTAAAAACTGCTGTGTTTCAGTCTAATTTAATCCATTCATTGTTGTCAGGAAAAGACCAGAGATGCATCAACAGCAGAGAGTGAATGGAGAGAAGCCTCTGTGTCAAAGGAATATAGATTAGAGAAGAAAAAGATGTCTTGCATGCTCCAGCCTGTTCTTTATAGTCCCTGGTTATTCTGTACAAAGTATTCTCGGACACTGTGTGTACTCTGCTTTCAAAAAACTCCAGTGGTAGAAACCCCACCATGTGCTATAGAAGACTATTTAAGAATCTAGACAACCTTATTATCAGAAAGTTTCTTCTGATGTGCAATATGAATTTTTCCTTTGTTTCATCCTGTTGTACCTTGTTCCTCCTTCCTGAACCACCCTGAACACTTTCCCTTGCAAATACTTTCCATCTTTTGAATATCCTTCTACTTCTTGGAGTTTCCTAATATTGCTTAGACTTGTTGAGGTTTTGTTAACCTCAGATAGTAGTTCTACCTGCCAAGTCCTTAACTGTCTTGAATTTACTGTATTTTCTTCAGTTTGTCAGATTACTTGCATTGTGGCACGCAGAACTGCACTTTTCTAGTGTGGGACTACCATATCCTTAGGTTATGACGTGACAAATATCCTTCTCCATAACATCTAATCTAATTTTGGCTTTTTGGCTGCTTCATTTCTCTATCAGGTCATTTTTTATTTGCTGCCCGCTCTTACACCCTAATACTTGTTGGCTGTTTTCCTGATCTCTTTCCTCAAAGAAGATCTCAGTGCTATATATTATTTCCACAAGACTCACTGAAACTAATCCCATTCTGTTGTTAAAGCTCTTGCGTTGTGCCTGGGTTTTTTTTGTTGTTGGGGGTTTTTTTTGTTGTTCTTTTTTTTCCCCATAAATTTCAGTAAGCCAGACCTTATTTCTCTGTCTGCTCTTGCACCACCTGCCTTTTAACATCTTAATAAAGATCATCTTCTTAAAGTTGTTTGTAGAATTTCTCCAGAGACTGGACTGTGAAGACAAACTGAGATCAACTCTGTCTCTTTGACCTATCTCTTCCTTGCATGTGTTATCAGTTCTCTCCCAGCCAGCACACGTGGCTTCCAGAAGAAGAAGAAAAGAATAAGAAGTGGAAAACTCAACTACAAACAGTCTGAGATGCTAAAGATGAACATTACTGACTAATTCAAAAACTATCCAGTAACTTGGGCACTTCCTTGGTTAAAACATAAAGGAAAAAAGTAATGGAACAGCCAGACAATTCAGTCTTGTCTTCTCAGTTCCTGGCCTCTCTTGTTTTCTCAGTCTCTCAACTTGTAAAAGGTGGTAGGTTGACTTTATAATGGATTATGTCCAAAGCAGACTCCTTGCTTAAGCTAACAGAATGGAAAGCTGGGGCCCATATTAAGGTGTGGAAAAAGACTAACTGGGAGAAATGATTTAATACGTAGCTCTACGCTGAAATGTAGCCCCATAAAATGGTCTCATGGGACTCCATAGTTTTGATTAAATGTGTTCATATCACAAGTAGAAAGATAGTTTTTGAACAGCTAACACAACAAGCTCTTCTTTCTTTCTAAGAGTCAGACTGGGTCCTTTCCACTGCTCATGTTGCCACTACTATTGGCAGGTCTGTGAACCATGAAGAGACCTGCTGATAGCAACATTTTGAGACAGAGGTCGCAGATACAGTAGTCGTAAGCTGTGGAATGAAACAGATGTCCCTGGAAGCAGCATTTGGTGTGTTGAGTCTTCACGTTGCAGATGACAGCATGCAAAGTAGAAAAATATATTAGCTCAAATGTCAGAACCCAGAGTGGACTGGTACAGGTGGTAGCTAGAAAATCCTTCTGCTTTTAGGAATGACTAACTCAAATTAAATGCAAATTTCTGCACTATCATTCCTATAGTAACTTCTCAAAAACCTGCTCTAACTATGACAGCATCAAGTAGAGCAAGGCCTTGGACAGCCTTTGAACAGAACTATCAGTCAAAGAAAAGATCTCAGAAAAATTCAGCTGTCAGTGTTAGATCACTGTATATAAAGAGACGAAATGCCAGGTAGAGAAAAGGAGCATATAGTTCAAGATGTTATTAGGGAGAGAACCCAAGAAGATCACCAAGTTTACCAGCAATAGACTGGAACATCACAAACTATTGGGGATGTTAATCAACATGGCATAATTTATTGTACTGAACCTCTCTGTAAATGTCATTCCCAACAACTCTATTCAGGAAGCTTTTCGAAACAAATATTCCCTTCAAGTCCCAACACCACAACACAAAATCTTTCTACCTTGTTCTTCTTTTGTATATTTGCTTTGCATGGTGCCAGCAGCAGAAGAGCCAAAGTTCTGCTCTATTGTAACTAGTACAGAAATAGGGTAGAGGTGATGCATTTCTCTCGGGTTCAGGAAATCCATCCCACGGCGGGGTGGAGTCCTGACTGCAATTGGATATGGCAGTAGCCAGCTGTTCTAGGACAGGCTGACCAAGCCTGGCAAATGTGCCAAAAGTAGAACAATGGCCATAGAGCGAGCCCTGTAAAACACTATGGTTCTGGTTTGTATCCGGCCTTGCCCATGTGTGCTTATTCACAGGCATGCATGAAATGTCTTAACTGAGCCAGGTACATCACACATACAAACTGAGTGTCCACTGGAAAGAGGACAGGCAGCAGGAGAGCAACCATTTAACTGTTACTGGAACCCCTTTCACTTTTTTGCTACTGCTGTACTGCGGCACGCTTGTTTTTTTAGCTCCTGAGCATCTGGGTTAATCAGGCTGCCTGACCCTTAGACATTTTTGGCAGCAAAAGCAGTGCATCTGAGACACATGCCTTGATTTAACACCCTGACACAGCTGGGCTTACTAGGCCTGTAGCTCTTAGCCCTTGGCTAGCCTCAGATCATACACACAGATACACATGCAGAGATACCCTGTCCAAGAGCAACAGAGGAACAAGCCTCCCTGGCTCTGGGTCTTCACATCTGTTGCTGTCCTCTTGTCAAATCTGGGCTTTTTGTGATGTGAATTTATTAGTGTCAGTTCTGTACCCCCTGGACTGTTAGATGTGTTCATAGCGTCCTAGGAATAGGTTGTTAAAACAAAGGTGTTCAAAATTTAGTCAAGAAAGTATTTCTTTGTCACCTGTGGAACAAGAGCATCTTCCAAATTTGCAGTCCAAGGCTGGGCAGTGTAGGGCTGGTTTAGTGCCTAAATGAAGGAAGTCAGTATCAGTTTCAAGGAGAGGTTAGCTGTATAAGAGATAGAAAAGGACAATGACAGATATTTAAGTGGAGGGGACAGAAGGGACTGTTTTTGTTAGTATTGAAGAAGAAGAAATTGAGAACATAACAATGGTTTGCATTGGAGAAGTGGAAGCAAAAACAACACAGACATTAAAAGCAGGAAACTGAGAAAGGCAGTAGGCTTTCAGCCAACCCAAGGAGGGAGAAAGTGGAAGGGGATTAACTCAGTTTAAGCAGTGAATATGTTCTGGCACTGGAGCTTCCATCAGGACAGCAGAGAGAACTTGAGAGGTGAGCTTAGTGGTGGTGGGAGATCAATGACCCAGAAGCAGATCTGAGGATGAGCTGTGTGGAGGTGACAGTTGAAACTGCAAGAATCAAGGTACGCTGTGGGTAGACAGAAAAGAAGAAGGGAAAGTCTGTAGAGAGAAGGAGATTCTCTAACATAAACCACACTTTAAAGTAGAAGTGTGACTGTTCCCTGTTTTGTTTTTTTGTTGTTGTATTTGCTGGCGTTCTTGATGACAGTTTCAACCACTAGTCTTGCATTCTACCTACAGAAGGGTGAGGTGAGCTGAATTTGGCTGTCCATTGTGCTGCATTAACAAAGTGGACAACCTAATTATGAGCATGGAATTTCTATGTAAGAAGCATAAAGATCCATCTGGATTCTCAGCTCCCAGAAGGACCATGCAGTATCAGCAGCAAAAGAAACCATAAGTACAGATCCAAAATTCTCTCCAAGAGACAATAAACATAGAAACAGGCACCTCATTTGACAATAGTATTTCAAATTATGGCTGACTGAAGTAAGAGGTTGTGTTTTGCAAATGTCATATCTTCATCCCTCTCCTTTCCTGTACAGACTCCAATTTATTTAACTAAAATCCAACTGAGATAAAATACAGGGGTCCCCCACTGGCCTTTTAGCTGCCAGGAACACCTGGATTACTGGCAACTTGCTGACTTTGAAATCTGAAAGCAAAAGGTTTCAGACAAAACCATAGAAACTGCACATGTGCCTGAGTGTGTTAGTCATCAGGGCATCACATGGGGATTGGAGATTACAGTGCTCTTCTGGGGAAGAGCTCACAGTAACTGTGTAACACTGCAGAGCTGAATGAGTGAAGGAGAAGGACTCTGGCAGAGAGACAGGAGTGTACATGCAGAAGTCTGGAGTGATCAGAATAGAGTTGGGCAGGAAGGAGGAAAGGCAAGGATGGATAAGGGAGGAGAGGACAAACCAGGAATAGATGAATCAGTTGTATAGATTTTAAGGACAGAATAGATCACTGCAGCTGTATAGCTTGACCTTGCCTTGTGAGCAGAACTATTTTTTATGTAGGAGGGCATGGTCTCAGTTTGGTAATGAATCTTTATAACAGTTAAAGGAAGTGCAGTTGTACTCCGCAGAATATAGTTTTGCTGTTACTCAAATGCTGAGATAAATGCAGGAGAATTTGCATAAACTATCTGCTTGAGGACTGGCACTGGATTACTGGAGATTAAATGCATCCTGTGGGTCTTTGCTTCCAAGACAAGTGAGAAATCTTGCCTAAATGAGACAAGATGCAAGGACTTAACTTTTGAATGCAGCATGTTTTTGCCAGTGTGTGCATTTCTGTTCTAAGGTTGCTTAATCATTTTACTTCAAATCACTGGAATAAGGTGACCACAGCTGAGTTGTGCTTTGGTGGTCCAAAATCATTCACTGTCTCCTTTATCCTCCAGAATCAGCTTCCAAGGCATGTGGGACAATTAAGTGTTTTAGGCACATCAAAGTCTTGCTGGTGGCTTGAGTCTGCTCTGCCTTTTTGGAGTCAGTAGCTGTCGCTGCCTTTTTCATACCATGTTCAGGCACAGCTTCATAGCTACAATCCCAGTGAGATTATATAAACTAGGAGAATTCTTTTTTTTTTTTTTGAGACTTTTATTATTCCTTGGTATATGTCGTCTTATCTCTGTCTAATTTGATGATTTTACCTGTTAGGGTGACATCCACTGAAAGGCAACTGAATGGATTCCAGAACAGCCTTCACAGTGCTGCATCCTGTGAGCCAGGGACAAATTCCACAGGTGAGTGCCAGTGCCAAAGACCAGGAAAGTGGGGGTGGGCATGCTGGGATGCTTTCATCTTTCTCAAGAACTGGCAGGGAAAAAACTTTCTCAGCAAGAAGAAGAAACACAGCTGCATGTAGTGGTTCCTAGGTAACAGTCTGGGTTCAGCTGTGCAGGGAATTTATTCCTCCTGGGATTAAAAAGACTAAACAGAAGGGAGCAAAGGCTAAGTTTCATAGAGTTGGAGAGGACGATCCCTAAAAATGTGGCTGGGAAAAAAAACTTGGCTAAAATGGCTCCTCTTTGCTTTAGGCTTTGGCTCAAAGATGCTCTGTTGTTTAAGCTTGGCCTGTAATAAAGGGCCAGGACATTCTTTACATTTTTCTTCAGTCTTGCAGAAAAGCCCCTTAGTTCAGAAAGACATAGTTGAGACTTGTGAATCAGCTGCATAGTGAAGTCAATCAGTAGAAGTGAAAGTTCCCAAAGGAAAATCACTGAGACTTATAGAATCAAATCTTCATCATTCCATAGTGGCTAATTAATTCAAACAGGTTTATCTGCCATTAAGGTCTTAGTAAATGAGGACCCAATCAATTTTTCATTGATGCAGACGTATTAGCAGGTAGAGCGTAGGCTTGATGAACCCATATTACCCACAGCCCACAGTAATTTGTGATGGTGCTATAATGGAATATATGTACAAATTATGGTCTAGAATGCTTTAAAAAATTATGTTTCTGACCTTTTGTTTTGCTGTGAAAACCCTGAAAACATTACTTGAGTATCACTAATGCAGTGATGTCTGTGTTTTCACAGGCTGAAAGAAAAGTTTGCATAGGGATGAACTACCCAATTCATCTCTTGGTTATGTAGCTCTGAAACTTAATGATGACATTTCCATTATTAATGTCAGTGATTTTATTGCTGATCCTCTAGCACAAACATTCAGCTAATGCACTTATTGTACAGTTCCAAACTGCCTCCCACGCTTTACCACCTGCCAAAAACTCCAGTTGTCCTACTAGAAATTTTATAGGGTGAATACCCGTAGTCAATAAAAAAGACCCTACAGCACATTGGAACGTGACAGTGTAGGAATGGAATATAGTGGGATTATCAAAATAAATAAAATTATGTCAACATTGTAGTATATGTATACTTGAGGCAAAAGTTCTGATCTACTATATAGTTCAAATTGAGTTTTTAGTCCAGTATATAAAGCAAGGTTACACATAAATTTACAGGTAAATGTAAAAATAGAGTTCTCAATATATTGACCGAACTGGTTTGCTGAGTGGACTTACATGAAGGTGTTTGTGTGCTGAATTCTGCCTTCTTTTTCACAGTTTTAAGAGCACTCTCACAGTTGCAACGCTGTGATTTTAACCTCTGCAAGAGATCCTCTCCATCTCCTCTGGGTACTGCTGTTGTTACATGTGTCTGTGATAACTGTAGATAGCATTTTTCCATCCTTCCCTGTTTCTGTCAGTATTTATGCAGAGCATGCATGAGGGTTGTTGATAATATTAATGATGGAAGGCAACAGCCAGAGCTGCAGGAAGAATATAGGCTAGATAACAGCTACAGAGTTTAGGGTAGTCACTGTCTCCAGGAGTACTTGTAATCCGGTGAGAACTGAGAACTTCAGCTCATGTTTCTTTCTGTAAGACTAGGCTAGCTACTCTGTACTAAAGTTATCCACTCTGAAGGTGAAACAAAGGGTTTAGCCTGCCATTTAGCTAAGAATGTGAAGGCTTAGATAGAACTCTGGTTTGGCTAGGGGTAGGCTAGCAGAACCATGGTGGGTGTGTCACTCAAAGCTTCCTTGTCGCTAGAAGAGGCATATAGTGCCAAGAACAGTGCTAAGTATTGTGGTGATTGAACTAACTAGAGCAAAATGTTTGTTCTTGGAAACTGGGGAATGATATTTTCTTCAGCTTTGCACCAAGCCACTGGTATGCATCAGAGGCTGCTGTGCCCAGTCTGTGTGTCTCAGAAACTACTCTGGTCCTTCCTGCAGGAACAGCTGTTTTTCTTCTTTGCTCTCCCCATTGATTGCTTACACTAGGGCCCTGATTTCCCTCATCAGCAGCTTATTTGGGGTTACTGTTTCACATATATTTAGTATCCTAGATACCAGCTAGAGGGTTGGAGATACAAGTAATAAAGCAGATTACAGAATAAACTGCAAGCATTTAAAGATAGAAGGCTGTGAAAAGTTGTGGAGTTAAAAGAGGAACCAGGCAGAACCTCTGTATAAATACACAGAGAAATGTTCAAACATGTCTGAGAAGCTTGAATAGGCCTTCTCCTCTAACAGCCTATCTGAGGGATAGCTATGGGGCTCTGCAGAAATGAAGCATAAAGGTGTCACAAATGATCTAACTAGAAGTAAGTATAATGCTCAAAGGAACAGAGAGTCAGGCAGTATGGAAACTTTTAACTAGATTGTCCAGAAAATAGTTTACTGGTGGTTAGTACTGCAGCTGTAGAATACCAGTTGTAGATACTGTTGTGTGGTGGGCTCAAGCTCTTGAGGACAGATCCCTTGAGACAAAATAAAAGGGAGAATAGGAGTCGGCATTTCTGCAAAGCAACTCAGGATTCTGAAACAAGTCATCACTACAATGAAAGTGTGGCAGCCTCTCATCCCTATGGCCTCATCCTCATTTCATGGAGAAGCAGAAGTTGTGTGTGAGCTGTGCACCACTGGCATGATGAGAGGGAAGGCAGAGATTGTCATGAGTATCTACAGACAGGAAGCTAAATCTGCAAGCTATCATCTGGGGGTTATTTGTAGTGTCTGAAAAGACAGTTTCCTATCAAAGTTCCTGAAAGTTTAACAAGATTTATGCTATCAAAGAAATACTAAGCATTACTACCTCTAGGGAACATTCAAAATGCTTCTGACCTGATTTTTCACTGAAATTGAACACCCAGCTGCTAGTGGGTTGTCAGTCATTCTGAAAATACAGCCATTATCACATTGCTTTTTTTATTCTGTGTTACTTTGAGAGTTCCTCAGCATTACACTGATTGTTTCCTGCTTCATGGAATTTAGCAATTCAATTAGTGTTAGTGAAATAGGGTGATGGTTAACTAAGAAATCAGTTCTGTTTTCCAAGTCTTCTTCGCAATACAGCTCGCTGAGTAACAGCTAAGCTAAGTAGTATAGCGGGTTGTTCAGTTCCAGGTTGTCTTGATGAGGCTGTGTTTGATATGGTGAAGTCAGATGATAAAGGAAGGAACCTACAGCCTGGTCGTTTTTTTTACTGTATATGTTAACAATGTAAGGTGTATGGAGACATCTTGCCATATTTTGCTGGTTTATTTTCTGTTCTTCTCTAGTGGCATTAGGTGAATAGTACATGAATTCTTTTTCTCAAGAAAGTGAAGTTCTAGGTAAAAAAGGTGTCATTTTTCCACCAGAATTTAGCTTTTGACAACTGGCAAGAAACATCAATGAAGTTCTATACGTGGAAGACCTCATAGTGAGAAATTTATTATTTTTATTTTTCTTCCTTTTTGATAAATGCTAATACAAGCAGGTTTTAGGGAGAATAGAGAACGAAGGGGGCACTTTATGAAAACATAACAGCATAGTCGCAGGCAGCTTCTCTGTTCCTGAGCTGGACTCTTGTCTGCAAGAGCCTGAAGACAGGAACAATCTGAAAGTATAGTTAACCCCTCAGTGCAGTTGTGGAGTGGATGCACAAGTTGATGATGCCAGCCAATTTTATTTGGTTTGGTTTGATTTGTAAAGGTAACAGCAGCTATGAGTGAAATCTGTCTTCTGTCTTTGTGCCGCTTCTTTTGCTTGCTGCAAACTTCTTGAGAGTTTGTGATTTTTTTTTATTTTAAAAGCTTCAGAATACAGAATGCCACTGGGGTTCTGTTTTTCTATGACAAAAATATAATGTGCTAATAACCTATATAATTACAAACAAATATGAATTATGATTAAACTGGGCAAGACTGATGCTTGGCTCCAGGCTTGACAGGACTTTCACCTTTTCATACTCAGACTGATTAACAGTGATGCAGTTTTATTGTGCTAATGTTTATATAACTGCTCTCCACATGGCTTTTCCACTATGTGTTCTGGGAGAAGAAAAAAGCATTAGAGTTTCTGATTAGATGAGGTAAAAGTTAGTAACATGCTATCGGAGTTTGACAGCAGTGAAGACTGCTAATTCATGCAAAGTCTCAGATCTCTACCTAGTCTGGTTTAAAGCATGAGTCCAAAACCAATTTCTTTGTATTCTATCTCTCTTGAGAATACTTCATAAAGAAGGTGAATGTCAAAACTCCTCTGAAGCTAGGGAGGAAACTTCTTGAGCTAGGTAGTAGAGACTTGATTTTATTCCCTGTGATTCCCAGGTCTGTATCTGAGCTTAGTTGCAGGATGATGCACAGTTGTCTGTTTACTTTGGCCATTCACCTGGCCTCCCTGTCTGCATGAATGCCAAGTCCTGAAGGTTTGCACCTCTTTGAAATAAAGTGTATCATCATCTGTAAGGGCTTAAAACTGGATCCTGAACTGCCAAGAGACTAGCTGAAGAATATGGGGATTAATAAACTGGTTTGGATCTAATCCACGTAGAAGGCAGGCTGCTGTTCTTAGTTTTCTAGTGATTTCCTTCTTTAGGCTAAGGTGGAGAGCAGTGTCTGAACACCATCCAAATAAAATGAATGTGCAAGCAGTGTGGTCCAGTATAGACCAATGAATGGGGCCTGCTTGCAAACTAGTGATAGTAAGGAGCACTCTTTTGCGCTTACTCTTCTCTGCATCTAGCACGCTCCAGTTTTTTTTCATTTTACAGGAAATCTACAGGTGGAATGTGTATTTCTAAAGTTTTTTATATCCAAGGTTATTGTATGGTCCTTCATAAGAAGTTCATGTATGTCTTGTTACCAGAGACCTGAAATTAAGAGTTAACGTTGGAGGCGCTAAGTTGTGACTGGCCGTTGTCTACCCACTGCTTGAATTAACATTATTCCAGAAATGCAGCTTCTTTTATATAAGTTTAAGGAAAGAAGAGGTTCTTTTAGCAGGTATGCAAAAGTACAAGCTTCAAAATTGTCCTGCACCAGCAAAAGGGAAAAAAAAAAGGCAAGTAAACCCAACAGGCATTTAAACAAGATGCATACAATCACTTTGTATTGTTTGCCAGATCTAAACAAAAAAAATACCTGGGATTGGGAGATTCTTTTATCAGCCAGTGTCTTAAAGGGTGGGGATGGGATGTGATGGGATGGGATATGTACTGTTGCCACTGTGCATGGCCTGTGTCAGACTCCCAGCCATTTGCTACAGTAGGGTGGAATTCTCAGCTGCCCGGCTTCATCCAGGCTTCCCCAGCTTCTGCCAGGCTCCCCTGCAGCCTTGGAAGGCAGTAGATTGTTGAACACCAATGTATTTATTTTTGTGTTGTTACCACATTCCCAAGAGGAACCTTGGCTATGATTTCAGCTGGTCTCACCACACTGTCCAAATCCTTCATCAGGAGCAGCTGGGAAAAGAAATCACTCGGGTTTCTGCACAGCACATTGCTGGTACGCCTCCTCCCTCCCACTAATCCTGTTAATTCCAGTCTTCATTTGCCACCCTCCTGGTTCTCTCTTGTTGCTGTGACTGACTGCACAAGTGGTCTTGACTTTGAAAGGTGACCTTCAAATGGGCACCTCAAGTAACCTCTACCTCAGACTGCTTTGGCTACTCAGGCTCAAGATATAACACAAAGGAGCAACTTTTGATGTCACCTCATTACTTATCCTAGTCCAGGAATGGAGCAATGATGAGCTCTTCCACATAAATCCTTCCAGAGCCACCTGTCTGCTGAGAAGCTCTGGGTGGGTCACTGAAAGGGAACAGCAGTGTGATATCCAGCACCTTGCATCAAACTTTTCTAGTGCAGCCTCTCACCCTGCATACAGCCTTTGTCAACAGCAGTAATAACATTCTGTCAGCATCTCTCTCTGTAGTGCTGTCTCTGTGCAGGGAAAGGATTATTGAGAAATGGAATCAGTCCATTTTATCGTATTTTGGAAAGCAGTGGAGCTTGAGGTGAATCCTGCTATTGTGCCTCCCTTTTTTGGGAGGGCAAAGAATCAGTTACAATGGAAGATATTTGGTTTCACATTTGTTCTTAGAATTGTCTTCCTAAAGCTATTGTTTTTTCATGCATCACAAAAACATCTTGGATCTTCTCTCTCTCCCCTGCTGACTTCCACAGTTTCATAAAGAGGGCAAACAGGAAGGGGGAAAAGATAATTTCTCTCCCTGTTATAGTTTTTGCATCTGTCCCAGGTCAGATAATGACAGACAAGCCTGTAGTACCAGATGGACCAGAAGGGAAAGAAGGGTAGAGAAAGACCTTCTCATCACTCTGTTTCTTGGTACTCTTTGAAGGAGCATGGAACCATTACCTTATGACTAGCAATGAGCAAATATTGATATCTCTAATGAATACCTTTAAAATAGATACAAATTATCAACATGGCATGACTATGTTCCAGTTTATCCAGTTACTAAGTCTCATTAAATCCCAGCAGAGTGTAAAGCTCTGCCAAAAGCAGCATTCCAGGCCCTTCTCAGGTGATGTTAAGGAGATAATGTCCAACTCAGTCATCGCTTCTCAGCTAGAGCTGAGGGTCAGTGTTCACTTCTAATGATCAGAAATTACATTTATTCCTTAACTTGTAAGAGCAGCCTGCCTCTCACACCTTTAGTTAACCTTTTGCCTTTTTTTTTTTTGTGAAAGGAAGGAACTTTTTCCTGTTGCTACTGGTCTTATGCCACTGAAAGGACATTCTAAGTCTCAGGACCACTCAGAAAGCAGGAGAAAAAAGAAAGGATAGTCTCTAGGAATTGGCTTCCCTGTTTAAGAACTAGAACCCAGCTTGAATTTTAGGAGCCTTCACTTCTGACAGACTCAAAGAAAACTCCAAAGCAGGATAAGTAATGACTTCAGGCAGTTGGCATTTTTGCCTGACTGAAGGCTGAGCATTGCTTGTTCTCAGTAGTTAGGTGATGGCGAACTGCCTGTATTTCCTTGCTGTGTTGGAAATGTCATTCAAGATCAGGTGTGCAAAGACTGGGGAGAGGTTATATAATATCTTGGCTACTTCTATCTCACATCTGGCCCTTTGGCTTTAAGCTACCTATAGAGAGGATGACTTTGCCCATCCAAATTGGATTTTGTTTTAATCTGGCATTATTTTATTGAGACTAAAAATAGAAGCCAAAATGTGTGTGAATAGAGTAAAAGGAGTGTCTGAAGTTATGAAATGAAATGTGGGGAAGAGCCAGAGAAGAGAGAGCCACAACAAACCAGGGAGTAGGGAGCTGAATAAGAGAAATCAGAATGAAGGCTCTAGTACAGAAGGGCATTAGCAGTCAGGGTGAGGAGCCCACCTGGTGTCTTCTCTGTAACATGGGGAGAAGGAGGGCTCATGCTGGCTTCCACTACAATTTCTCTACTTGTTAATGAGGCTGCTCATTGCTCTTTTCATGCAGGGAGACTTCACTTGAATACAGTTGTGCATACTGTTTGTGTCATGCCCCCCTCCAAGTAAATTTTCATGACTTGGACCTGCTGCTTTCCCTTGCCTGCCCAGTCCAGCAAGCCAACTTGAAATTGTGCCCAAAAGATGGGGGAGGGAAGGCTGTCCTTCTGTTGTCAGCTGTCCTGGCTTGCTAGTGTCAGTCACCCATGGATATAAATAAACCATATCTATTTATTGCCTTTCTTAGTTGCACTATATATTATCAAGAGAATGCTGGGCATCACTGTAGGATTAGAAATTCCCTCTGCTCTGGGATAAAAAAATCTGAATTTCTAGGATTATCAGAGCTTTTCAGGGAGAAAGGAAGTTCCTGTTTTCAACACTAGATTGAGGAAGCTTCAACATGCTTCTTAGTTCTGCCAGAGACTTGCTGTGGGTATGATGAAACAGCCCAAACTAGCTCTAAAAAATGTTAGCATGGGTCCCTGACCTGGTACTGTCATCTAGCCTAGTGCTCTGCTCTGTCTCATTCCTGCAGCTTAGAAGCAGAGTAGATAAGGTGCTGGTGTCTGATCAAGGGTGTGTACATCTGTGTTGGGAAAGTCTATATGGCACTGAATTTTAGTGTGCAGGTATCCTGTAAATGACTTTACACAACTCCTGTGATTTCCTTGTGACTCAGAATCATACCCATAAAATTGAGGTAATCCTTTTCTTCTCCCTATGTAACTGTTCTAAGTACAAAAGTGTTAAAGTTTTTGAGGTGCAGTCATGGATGACATAATAGTATGTAAACATGTGGACAGACATACAGGCAGATACTTTAACACCTCCTGGTAGGCAGACAATAAAGGAGATTCATTCTGTTGTATGTGGTGATTCACTGCAGTGACTCTCATCACTAGGGACAATCAACCCTTAATGTTGGCTGCTGTCAGGAATGAGGTTTTTTTCTGTCCCCCCTACTCAACCAGAAGGAGGTGGAATGCTCACCAGTAGCTTTGAAATGATAAAACTTCATAGAATTATATACATTAATATTTATTAAATTATTGAATTGGCCATCAGCTGCACTCATGGTAGGAACCTATGTATTTACTTGTAGACATAGGAATGCCCCTCTCTGTGTTCAGTTCTCAAGGCAGCCATACAAGAGGAGCTCACACAAAGTGATTTTCATTCAGTTTGTAAGAAAAGACAAACTGTACTGTGCATTTCTGTAGGAAAAGGAAGGCTGAAAGGTCTCTTCAAAACAGGAAGATGAGGTTGAAGTTGGCTGCCTCTCTCATGTGCCTTTGTTTTCCTTAATTTCAGCACATTGCCAAGGGATGGTATTCTGGACTGGTATCCTATCTTAATACACATTGTTGACAGTTTGGTTCCTAATTCAGGTTCCAAACTTTCTGTGCAGTGACATAGCTGACAATCCTGCTTTCTAAACAACCTTCCAGATCCTCTGTGCTGTGTGACATTTGGCTCTATGCTGGGCTTTCAAGGAGAGCATATTTTTTAAAATATAGCAATATTTTTAATAAACAGCTCTCAACAACTGTCACTCACATTTAGGAGCAAGCTGATGTGCTAAATACACAGGACAAGCTTTACCTACTACCTTAGCTGTAAAATGCAAACTGACCAAAATAAACTTGGTACATTTCTAAGTGTTTTGGATTTTTCTTTTTAAAGGACTGTCTGAGGATTTTTAAGTAAAAGAAGTGAAGATGACATTGACTTTTTCCCATAACATGTCTAAGTAGGAAAATGTTGCAGTATGTAGAATTAAAATCATATCTTTGTAATAAGGAAACAAAATTTTTCTTCCCATTATCCCCATTTTGTTTCTTTTAAAGATCAAACTTTTCACACCCCCATCTCGCCTGCACCAAGGTCCTCAGCATCTTTTGGAGTGGGGAAGTAGCCTCCCATGCAAGTGAATGAGTAAAAGACACAAAGAAAGAGACAAAGCATACTGATATCGGACAAGGATTTAGAGCTACTGGAGGAGCATGTAAAGAGAGGAGTCAGATGACTCAGAGGTGAAGAGTGAAGAAGGTATTCTGGGGCTTGAGAGGAATACCAGGACTACTTTTTCACACAGTAGCTTATTAAGTTAGGTTTTGTCATACTGATCTGTGATCTCATCTGTTACTGTAGAGAGAGGGTGTGTGATAGAGAGATCCAGATTTCTCGTGATGGCTGAGATTTGCAGAGCAGTGCAGCAGTTTTTCCCACAAAAGTCTGCTGTGATTACTCAAAATCTTTGCTTTGTGTTTTTTCCAGCCTCTGCTCGCAGAGAAGGACCGACACTGAACACCAGGTGAGGAATCCAGGGTGTTGCTTCAGGTATAGGACAAAGGAAAAAGCAGCAGTGACTTTGTACCACCACACTCCCATAACACCCAGGAAAGAGTGAAGAGGAGGCCCTGGTTAGAGGACAACCCACTGAGGAGAGTATATGAACATCTGTGGAAGCTGGTGATACACCTGCAAGCTGAGGTGAATGATTGCCTCTGAGAGCTTCTGCTGCTGAGTCTTGGGGTCCCTTCCTCCCACCTCTTCCTGATCACTAACTGTGAGATCTTTCTAGAAGACGCAGGTCCTCCAGCTGTCTGTATTGTTCCTAAGGTCCAAATTTGAACATAAAGTCTCATTTGCCTAGCCATTTCAGTCTGTCCCAGTCTAGTAACAGCTAAGATTTTCTGCTGTCATTACATGGCAACGATCACAGAGAAAAATATTGGAACATATGACTGGAGACATTCGTGTTGGTTGCCATCTTGAATTTTGGCACAGAGCCATAGAAATTATTGGTCTGAATAAAGTAATTTAATTTGGTTTTTTTGGTTATAATTTCAGTTATGAATTCACACCCCCAAAATATTTGCTGTCATTGTATTGGACAGGATTTAAAATCCATCTTTATGTTTTACTGTTGGATGCTTATGTTCTGTGTGGCTTATTTTTGTATTTTGATTTCTGTTTGTTTAGGCTTTATAAACTTTTTGTCTGATGTTTTCAGACTGAAGCTTGAACCCTAGGGCCCAGGTGGCTCCTATCAGTTGCAATAGTGGCTTGATGAAGCACTCCAGTTAAAATTTGCCTACTGCTATGAAAATTAATTTGCTTGTGTTAGAAAACAACATCAGCATCTGGAAAATGTATTGGAGAGAAGATCCACACATCCTTAAAATGAACAGGAAGCAGCTTTAGCTCTGGCTCTTTGTTGGTGCCAGGTTAAAGGAAAACTCAGTATTTTGCAACTTCTGCCTTGTAAAACAGCAAATGTTATGATTGTAATTCTCAAATGGTACAAAATCTCCTGTTGTCTGTATTGGAGCCCTCAGAGATTGGATTCTAACAGCCTGTTTGATCTGTTTTGTAATTCCACAGCTCCCCTGTTATTTCTAGCCTGTATAGTCAGTGTTAAGAGATCATTCTCATGTGTTGGCAAGTAGATAATGATCAACCCAAATGGCTGATAGAAGAAACAGCGTCAGAGGGGGAAAGTGTTTTCTCTTGAAATGATTGTGTTCATGTTCACTCTTGAATTATGCATATTTTCTGTCATTCAAGACCAGATAAATTGTGAGAAGATGAAATAATTATGTTCATATCCCGTTGGTTGCGCTATCGCTTGCTCCAGGCATGAATTCATAGGACAGAACGTGCATTTTTCTATTTCTGTTCCACTTACACATACGACAGACGTTGAATACTTCATTTGTCCAAAATGCGGTTCTCTGATGTAGCTGTTCCCTTTCTTACTTCATTGGTTTATATTTCATTTCCTAGACAGTCATGATCATGTTCACTTTCTCGGTGTTTTTCAGCTGTGTTCTTCAAGAATCTCCATATCATATGTCTGTTGCCTGTGCTGCCATCATATATCATCAGTGACCAAGAGATTTGTAAAATCTTGTGAAATTACTTTCAGATCATGTCCCTTCTGTCTGTAATCACTGAGTTCCACCCGTGGATCTCCAAGACATGTTCCTACTGGTGCATCAAGTTGTCGGCTCGTGATTAGTGAAAATTTAGTTGCAGAAGTTGTTACTTCAAACTTCTGCACGTCCTCAGCAGCTGCGGGCTTCAAGACCTTGGGTCTGTCTTCTCATAGCCTAATCTGCTTATGTGTGGTATTGGCTATAGCCTCCAGCTCTGTTCCAGAACTGTTGGAGAGGCTATTTCCCTATAAGATTTAGCTTCAGTAAATAATAGATTCCATTCCTTTCTTCCTCCCAGGGGATCTGAGTTATCCTTATTCCACTGGGTTTCATGTGCAGGATCAAGTAGCTATAGGATATACATCCTTGTGGAATTCTCATCTCTGTTTTTATTCTCTCTAGTTTCTTTGTTCAGGTTGTCACAGCCACCACTGAAAACTATAAGAGAGGTTTGGAGGATAGAGATTTAAATGCACAGTTAGCCCAGGAAAGGTGATTGTCTTCAGAGGATCATTGGCAGCATTCTTACATCTTTGGCAAATTACCAGTTAGTGCTGGCTTATTATGAACATAGGTTAATTGTTGTGTCAGCTTTGCCAGTCTCCCACTCACTCATTTTGGGAAAATTACTTGTATTCAGTTATAGCCAGCATGTTTTCTGAACTTCTTTGCATTGCATGTTAGATGTAGCCACAGCACATCTGTAACTGTGATGACTTAGTAGCAGTGTATCAGACATCTTGTCTCTAAGATTTTTTAAATATTCAGAGGAATGCACATTGCAGTCTAAGACCCTCATTTCAAAGGCATGAATTTTGTCAGCTTCAGCAGCAGTGAAGTCCTGCATCCTTTGTTTCTGGAAAATTTTTCTTTTGCTTCCAACAAATTAAAAAAAAAACAAAACAGGGATATCAAGACTGGTCCTTTACCTGAAGCCAAACGCCTAGACCTTGAACTACTGTTCAGCCTCAGGATCTATTAGGGCAGCCTGAGCATCAAAAGAAATAGCAGTATTCCTTTGCCTTGGGCTTCTGCTGATCCCAACTCTGACCACAAATGCTGTTACCTTGGGAGCATGTGCAATAGAGAATCAGGAACAAGTCCTGCGATTCCAGCCTCTTGTTTTTGCCATCACCCTGTACTCCTCAGCCTGGAGTCCATGTATGTGTTTGTGCGTGGTGGATACTGTGTACTGAAGGATAACATATGTATTTTGTCTCTTTGCAGCTCTGCTACCTCCACATCCGTCCCTTTTCAAAAACCTCTCGGAGACTGCTTCAGTTAAGAGATTCAGTGGGGAGAATAGAACTGTTTCCCACACATCTTGGAGAGAAGGCATTTTACAGGAAGTGTTTTCTAGTACAAGGGAGGAATGGAGGATAGCAAACCATTTTGGATTTATAATAGTTGCATATGACGGCAGTACAATTATATACGTGCTCCTCAAGTGGGGATTAGTTTGTCTCTGCTTTTATGACATTTACTTCCCTGTATTCATCAGTGAGTTTCATTGAAAGCACCTTTGTTTACTGTGAGAAAAGAAAAATTACTAATAGAAGACCCCAACAGTCATTCAGCATCTACTTCAGTTGTGAGACTGGATAATGTAAGCAGGGGGTCCTCTTCTTCTCTCCTACTCTGTGATGTTTTGCATCACTTCTAAGTTAAGGAGCCTGTTCCAATGACAGAGAATCAGGCTTGTTAGTCTTGAAAAGAGTAAGGTCCACATCAGAGTCCTGGAGGCTGAGATAATGTAGAGTTCATGCAAGCATTTTGTGCTGTGTTTAGGTGATGACCATACCATAACATAACATAAAAATTAAGGGAGGGATATTAGATTCTCTCCTCTCCAGAAGCAGCTGACTTGTACTCAGTATGTGAAGTATTAACTTCACTTTTACATGGTTCATCTTGGCCTTTAAAACAGCCTTACAAGTCGTGTGAGTGCCATCAGTGGGAGGTGGCACTAGATAGACCGTTTAGTCTTGGGTGCCAACGAGACATACAGAAATTTCAATTCTCAAGACTACATATGCTTTTGGACAATCATGGTTTGTTGGAAATGCTCCTCATTATGATGCCTGGAAGGTCAACATACATATCTCTGATACTGGTTCCATGCTATGACAGGAGGTTTTGTTATCAAGACCTTTGTTTACTAGTAGGAATCTCAATGCTGTGCCTCTTCCTCATACCGGAATATGGATAGTCTCTGTGTGCATGGAGTGCATGGAGTTGAATGGCTGACAGTGCTGGACCATTCCTCTTCTTTACCTGTGAAGGAGATCATCGACTTATAGGTGAGCTTACAGAACAGACTGGATTCTCAGCTTGCATTTTTTTCAGGCCTGTACCTTGCACTAATACAACAGTCCCAGTCATTTTGGATTATTTGCTGGAAACAAAATTAGCCTGGCTCCTGACTTATTTTTGTTAAGGTTTACTTGATCAAACTGCCAAGGACTTTTTTTTCCTCAGTCAGTCCTACATTTGCTGCTTATATTAATCTTGGGCTCACTGTTTGAATCTGGATGGGTTATTTGCAGGTGTTAAAATAGTTGGATTTTTTTGGTTGCAGAAAGTAACTGGCTGATTGATCCTCTTCATACTATTTCCTTTCTGGACACATTATTCCTGTTGATCTGTCATGAGTTTCTTCAGAAAGAAGCTTCTGAGCTTTACTTAAACCTGGGACTTGACTTCCTTTTCTTCTTTCTAGAACCTCTTGTTTCTAAAGCTAAGACGTCCTTGTTTATGCCAAACATCAGGAGAACCTTATTTTATCTTTGCAGAATCAGGTCAGTCAAACAGTCCTTGAGATTGGCTATACCAAGAGCACTAAACTTAACATTCATAGTTTTCTTCATACAGAAAGTGGTTAACTAGAAAAGAGATGGTAAAGGAGGAGTGTAAGGGAGAAGGTGAAAAAGGAGTAATTGTTGACAGTCTTGCCCACTAGAAGAAGTAGGAGCATCAAATTAAATTAGCAGATAACAAATTCAAAGAAGGAAAAAAAAAAAGGGGGTGGGGAGTGCGCGCGATTTTTTTTTTTCACAGTGTGTAATTCATCCATGGAACTCCTTGTCACAAGATGTTGTGGATACAAAAAAGTGTTTGTGGTTTGAAAAGACAAGTAGACAAGTCCATGAAAAAGTAGTCTATTAGGGCATATTAAATATTAAAACTAAAAAACAAGCAGGAAGTTTCTAAGACCTTTTAAGTGACTATTCTGGGGAAACATCACAATGGGCTTTTGCAATTTTTAGCTTGTCTATCAAGCATGTGCTCTCAACCACTGTCAGAAATGAGAGATGGGCTAGATGGTCTTGTAGTCTGACTTTGTATGAATGTTTTATTTTGACAGTTGCAGTACAGCCTACTAGAACAGCCAAGGCAAAGCTGCCTTCCAGGACAGCGGCATGTTCCACCAGAATTCAGTCTGGGTTTTCTAAGAAAAGTCTCCACTGCTGACATCTGCTAATTTGTCACATGCAGCTTGTCTACACCTTCGCCTGGGTGGGCACTATATATTGCAGAGGCTTTCAGAATGATGAAGCTCTTACAAGAGCATAAAGGACACCAAGATCCACCTCTAGACAGTTGTGATTTTGGGGGAAAGTAGGTTGCTCTATGGAAGCAATTCATAATGTGATGTTTGTAAATGGTTAATCGCTTAAATATGGAAAAGAAAATACCTACCACTAGCTGAAGCTCTTAAGTTACCTTATTCATACACATTTCACTTCTCGCCATCTTTGCCTTCCAAAGTGCTTCGGTGCAGAGCACCTTCGGGATGAATGTGCACAACCACAGCACATCTTAAAGAACTACTGTACCTGGTAACTGCTTTCTTCCCATTTTAGAACCCTACTGTCCTTTTGCAAAGAA